TTTTTTGGCTGAATTGCTCAGCTCCTTAAAGTGCATTTTGTTTTGTTTATCTTTGTAGATGTAGAGTTTGAATGTCGTATCATTAGTGTGGTTCATAACACAGCTCATAAAGACTTCAACCAAGAAGGTGTGATGGTCAAAGGGACCATTGTTGAAGTGGACCCAAGTCCTTTTAAAACCTGGTAAACTGTTAATGTTGTGTTTTGATTAGTATTCATGTTCTCCACTCTGCTCTCTTTACATTTCCTATGGTACTGACACAGAGAATTTATGTGGCAATCAAGAGCTTCTCTCGTCAGTGATCATTTCCTATATTCTCTTCCATTTTGTGAACATGCTAGCTTTTGGAAAATTGACTATTACTTCAAAGAGAAATTACATGTAAATCATTTTCTGAGATTTTTTGTCTTTTTTTGTCTACTGTTAATTCCAGGTACATAACCCATTACCAAAAAGAAGACTCTTCACAAGAGGTTGGTAGTGTTTAATTTGAATTGATGATAGTCAGTAGACTAACAGTATGTTGGTAAGATTCCTTTGTGGCTTTAGAATTTTTGTAATAAGCTCTGATAATTTGGTTTTTATTACCAGTAATCAATATTCTCTATTTTTTGCAATATTTTTTGTTTCCTCATATCACCTTTCTGGAAGGGAAAAATGTCTCAGACATCTGGATTATTCTTGTTCTCATTCACTTTCAAGTATGATTTTCTTATTTCCACAGGCTAATTCTTCACTTGAACATCTCATGCCATACCCGAACAAGGGAAAACTTTATGGTGAGCCCACAAAAGATTTGGTTTCTGAGACTTGTTGGTCTTGAAAGAGTTTGTTTTTTTGTTCACCACCATGATCTTGGGTCAGGTTGGCCTGCATATAGCCACCGTCTCATTGGAGGAGAGGGGTGACTGTACACAGTCTCAAAGAGGGTGTGGTTATCAGGGGAACGACAAGAGCGTATCGACGTATCTCTCCGTGTGTACCTAGGTTTTCGGTCGAGGTTTTCAAATTTCTGACTTTAGTTATCATAAAAACTTATTTAGATTATGGATTACGTATTTTAGAGGCCAGCTGGCAGGTCTGAATACAGGTGTTGAAAAATAGTACGTTTTGGTCTGAAATTGGGCCAAGATTTAGAGCACCGGTGGACAAAACCGGCCATTTTCCCTCATCTTTTTTTCCCTTATTCACTATAACTGGTTGGAAAGAGGCGTTATGACTCAGCTTTGCCTAAGAAAATATTTGAATAACCACAGAACATCCGCCCTGACTAGAAATCGACTAACAGCCCTTGGGTCTCCAAGGGTGCTCTATGTCAGGCACGACTTTTAACTGCCTGCCACTATCTTGAATCGATCTTATGGGAAAGTACTCTCCAGAGAGTAAAGCAGAAATTCATTGGAAATGAACCCGAGAGAGTGTCTGATATTTTGTTTGTATTGCAGCTAAAATAACATCACGGCCAGGTCAAATTGGATTTTGTAATGGGTATATCCTTGAGGGAGATGAGTTGGAGACTTTGTTCAGCACGCGTGAAGACTTAAGGCCGTCATCGGACAAAAGCGCGCAAGGACGATGATCATACCATGGATTATCCCGTCATCCATGGGAAAAACTTCTAAATTTTGTGCAATCCTTCCTCCCAATCTTTTGGTCCTTCAGCCTTCATTTGATAGCGGGTGCAGGGGAAGGAATTGTTGTCAACGCTTTACAGACTGTAAATAGTTAATAAAGGTGGGAAACATAAACTCGGGCTTAGTCCCTCAATTTCTGCATGCGAGCAGCGCGAGTGCGTGAGAGGTCCGCGAGGGTTTTCGTTTTTGATGACAGACCCTCTCAGACCCTCAGTACGCTCCCCTCCCTTGCTAGCTGGATTCCTGCGCGCTTCGCCGCAATTTTGGTTGCGGGTGTGATCGGATGTGGTCATATGGGTTTGATTTCCTCTGTATTTTTGGATCTCGATCTTTGGACCATTCCACCAACAACGGCTAGTGATCGGCCCCAATGGTCTCGGGGTTTTTTCTCAACCGATAAAACTTGATGTATTAACATCGTGATCAAGATTTCACAAAAACTCGTGCATCGTCGTACAAACCAGTAAATTTTTTATTAACATTATTTCCGAAGTTTGCATCACTTCTTCACGGAAACAGCTGGAAAACCAAACTGTCTTATTACAATTATAGTCGAACTGTACATTATTTAACTCAATTTAATTGTAATATAAAGTCGATCTGATTAACAACAACTGGAAGTTTACCAACCTTATTATTCGTGCTGGAAAAATATAAATTTTCTATAGCATTAATATACAGCATAACCTTCATGAAATCCTCAATTTAGCCAAAAATAGTTGATAAATTGTCAATCCTTTAGTAAGAGTACACTGCTCAAACCTTACTTTTTCAAAGAAGGCATTGCGCTCATACTCGTACTAAAATACATAAGCTTTGAACAATCATCGAGACACGTCTAAAATTTGTGACCTCGTATTCTTTCGATCTACTCATAATACCCACAAGTACACAATGAGTATGAAAATTAAGAGAGGCCGTTGTTTCACACTGCGAAAACGACATAGATATCTAGAACGCAGTTTGTGTAAGAAATGACGACACAAGTTGACAAAATTCAAACTACTAGTAAAAAGAGGGGTTTATTGAGGTAACATCCTCAAACAGACTTGATGTGTTACATTAACTCCACATGTTTAATTTTTTCGGCTCCTGATTCTACCATTTTTTTTTATATTCCAATATATTGTAAAATCTGAAAATGTTAATAAAATATACTATTTGTATGTTTGTTTGCCTCCGTTTGAAGTTTTCTCCTGTAGCTTTTCCTCTCCAAACAATATTTTTATGAGCATTTGTAGGTTAAGTCAAGTAAAGTTGCAAAATTTTCTTTTTCTTACGGACACGAGGCGCTAGATTTAATTAAGCGAAGGAGTCACGCTGGAAGACTGTCTGATCTCTCGTGCGTAGCAATATGAGTTTATTAGATTATGCTTCTTCTTTAAAAAGACATACTGAATCTCTGAAATAATTCCATAACTTACCAACATGGCGGTACACAAAGGAAACGCGGCACAAACCCTTGGGGACCGCATAACAGTTTACGAAGAAGTGCCATATTGAGCAAATAAAGCAAAAAAATAAAATTTCGCGAAATTGGCACGATCAAGGATAAAAGGCGCGAAATCCCGAGGAACGCCTGCGGAGAACAACACGAAATATCGAACAGGTTGTACGCATGAAAAGTTTGAAATGGTGTGAGATCTAGAATAGTACGAAAATATAAGACGAAACCTACTGATAAGGCAAAACAACCAAATTATGTTTTTGGGTCGATTCATCGTAAAAGCAAACTCACCTGGCACTTCTCTTAAATTTACCATTCATAATGAAAAACATGAGTCCTAACGGTCGTGCGTTCAGTGGATACGAGCATGTCTTAAGCGCTGTCTTTTACCAATTGTGCAGAAAGAACGGTGGCTCAGTTGGTCAAAAACGCGTTCCGAGCTCAGTTGAACGTTTTTATAACAGACACAATGCAACGTCGGCAAATTGCGCAAACACGTTCGTCGGCACGCATCTGCAATGCGCACTGGTAGCAGAACCTATGACCGCAAATCAACGCGGCGTCTTTAGGCCTGTCCATGCAGATATCGCATGTGGTAGAGACTTCCACCTTTTCCGGCTCCTCACCGCGATCTGAAGTGCTCTCTTTAATAAACGGGCTAAAGTTGAAAGAGTTAAACCGTTCAACATGGACGGCTTTACCTCCCACTTCGCTAGTGTCAAACGAATTCTCGTCATCTTCAAGAGTGTATTCAACTTGCTCGTTATAATAGCCCTGCTCGTTTAGTTCCTGATCTTGATTAGCTGGATACAAATAATCGTCATCGTTAAAATCGTTAAACTCAGCGTACTCGTCTACCTGTAACGTTTCAGCAATGAGCTGGTCACTGGCAATCTGTGCTTGACCACTCATGGACCCTTCAACAGCTGGTTCCGTGTGACACACAATCTTAAGCTCCTGCACTTTCAGTTCATTTTGAACGGTACTCTTGAACTTCCGTGATTTGGAAGCCTCCCCATTCCCTGGGGAGCCGAGCGCCGGCCATTCGTCCTCGAAGTTTCCCTCGCTCGAACCTTCTTTAGAAAGAGCAATGTTGACGAAATCAGCGTTTGCGGGAGACTTAGTCTTCTCCAGGATGGCGGCGTAAGATCTGGAGTTTTGCGGCTTGGGTTCTACCTGTACCGGCTCAGGTTTTGCAGCAGGACTCGGCGCCGCGCGCTCTAGATACCTGTAGGACGGATGGCGGAGCTCGCATCGTTCCCCGCGGTGGCATGTTCCCCAGATCATAAAAGTAGGACAGTCGCGAATGAAAACAACTGATTCATTCTCGAAATTGCGATCTTGTTCAGCGAACTCCTTTTCCTGTCTTCTATCCATCATTTCCTCCCATTTGCGACCGAATAATCCGTTTACTCGAGACACGTTCCGCCCTGGAGTGTAATTCAGATAATCTCGTCGGCTGGGATCGTTCAGGTCTAAGTTGTCCAGCGGTCTGTCTGGCACACGCACTGGATATTTTGGATGGGCAATTCTACCTCGTACCTCGGGATCGATCACGAAATGCCTTTCAGAGGTGATCCGCAGGTCTTGCCGACTCGATGAGGAACCAAATTGGACCCGTCTCATCGGCGATTCCACCCCTTTTTCTGTTTGCGAGAAGATTTTTATCTGCGTTTCCGGCTGAGTATCAGATTTGTCCCCAAAAACGGCGCCTTGTTCGAATTCTCTGTTATCCCCACTTGGATCCATCGCTTGAAGGCCGTGATCTTCTGCAAATGGAGAAGCGAACAAAATTTAGCAACGGCGATGCAAAATGCGGATGTTGATGTTTTAGGAACAATATCGCGTGATTATTTTGGGGGTAAAAGTTAAGGTTGGCAATTGAAGTGGTTAAACGCTTACTTTAAAAAAATTAAAACAATTTTCAAATCGAGTTTTTCCAGTCCAAGGAATTTGAACCCTGACAATTTAGTCAATTAGAGAGGCACTAGCACTCAAGGACAACCCGCATTTGCAGAAGTACACTATAATGTAAAATTGTGGAAGCAAGGCCTGCGTGCAGGCAGCCCGGAGCAGTAATCTCAATAACCCTTCGCGTTTCAACTCAAATGTTCGCCCCCTTCACAAATTCAGAATTTGTCACAACCAACTCTTCAGGATATTTATCTTTACTTTTTTCCGAATTTCAACCGAAAAAAAATTTATATAGGAACGAAAGATCATAGATCTTCACCTGAGAAGCGTTCTTCTTTTCTGCCGAAAACGTGACCGCTATGTCGCCTTGCTGGGTAAACGTCCAAATTTCTTTCTGGATCATCTTTCAGAGTGTTTCCGGTTCCTCTTCTTCCTCCGTTGTATGGTCCGTTATTTTCTTTTCCATTTGTCGTCCTATGCCGATCTGCATATCATGAACAACGTTACAGAAGGCAGCGAAGATTATGTACTTACAAACCAAATTTTACAACCGATAGCCAAAGAAATTCAAGCAAGAGAAAATTGCGCATACAAAGAAAAAACATACGCGATAGTGGCCCTTTCCCCTCCTTCAAAGAAAAAAATGCAGGCAGTGGCTTTCTGAATATTTTACCTCGACTGAAAAAGGTTAAGAGAATGAGCCCAAAGGAAAAATTCCTGTGCTTAAGACGCTATTTCAGAATTCCCTTCCTTCCATTGGCTTTCGAATGAATCTTTGACCACACAACTCCAGGCATTCGTGCTATTTCCGATATATGGATCAACATCAGTATCTGGGCAACTGCCCACCTACCCCTCCCCTAACCCAACATTAACCCTAAGTTGTTATCAATTGACTGTTGTTGAGTTAGGGGAGGGGTAGGTGGGCAGTTGCCCAGATACTGTTATTGATTCCGATATTTTTCCTTATGCAAATGTGCCTTATCGAGTTTATTCAGAGTTCTCCTTACCAGACCTCCATCGTCTCGCTCCAATAGATGAACCGCCACTGCCCAATCGACCGTCGTCTCGGCTTCTCTTTTCAAAATCCTCAGAATTCTCACCTCTGCATACATTCCCCGTCCACACCCTGTTTGCCTCGCTATCGAGTAATGTCTGCTTCTGCACCTCATCCAAGTGCTCAGTTTCTTTCGCAGCGTGTTTAATTAAGACTTTCTCAACGAAATCCTCTCTGTCGTGAGCCTGAAGTAGTCTATGCGTATTTCCCGGCAACTTCTTCCCTCTTCTGGTAGTTTTGTCATGGACTACGCAGACCGAACCAATGGCGTTTTCAAAAAGCTTCGACGAAAATAATTTCACCGAGCTCTTGACCTCACGAATTTCTTTCACAGCGTCTACGTTTTCTAGATTGTCAGAAGCCCTTTTTTGAGTAACAACACCGTTGTGCTTTTTAACATATTTCTCCTCTTCAACCTGGGTCGTATCACCATTTACTCCACGTTCCCTCTTATCCTTAGAAACAATTTTATCACTGGGATTATCAATATCTCTTACCCCATCGACCACCCTGGATTTTTCAGAATCCTTCCTGCTCTCATCAACATGTTTTGAGTTAAAATGTTTGTTACGCCTTCTGACGTCTTTATCTTGCTCCACGGCTTTCTTAGAAGCGGTATCTTCCTTCTTCTTTTCAGTGTGTTTCACGACACCACCATCTTGATCAGCACCATCACTTACGACAAACTTGTTACGTCTTTTAACATACTTCTTGTCACGCTCAGCAGGTCGAGAAGCTTGGGGAATTTCAGAGTCATTAGCACCTCGCTTGCAAGCGCTCTCTAGCTCGGGACCTCCTCTTTGCGGGGTTTTCTTACGCCTTCTACCGCACTTTGCTTGTTCCACTGGAGTAAATAAGTCAGGAATTTCACAACCATAGTCACGTCCCGAAGGTCTCCTCTCCAAATCTTCCTTGTCTCTTCGGGGTGTTTTGTTTTGCCTTTTGACGAAAGGAGTTTCATCATCAACACAGTTCTCGGGGGTTCTCTCTCTTTCTTTACTTGTGTCTTTTAACACTTCACCATTTTCATGATTTTGTTTTCGCGGCTTCTTTTTACGAACCCGCCTCTTTTTTATCTCTTCTTCTTCTGCTGTATGCAAGGATTTTTCAGGCACATTTCCCTCTCTTGTCCTCGAATCTGTGTGTTCATTATAATTATTTCAGACAAAGATTGAATCAGACAGAACATATGGTCTCCTATATTAAGAACAATAATAATAATAACAATGTGACTGATTATGATAACAATATCAATAACACTGATAATATAAGGCTATTACCATGTTCTATTTTATTAATAATTCTTAAAATAATAATATTAATTATTAATGGCATTGGTACTAACAGCTATTTTTAATAAAAATTAAAATAATAATAAATATAGGATATTCTAAAACAGTGAATAGCAGTGAAGTTACACTCTGATTGGCTATTCATTTCCAAATATCCTTTACTGTTTACCTTCAAGCAACTCACACGGGATTTGCACCTGAAAATGTTCCCCTGTTTGCAGAAAAAAATGAGTTTGAATCATCCCTTTGTTTTGTACCAATTCAAATCTTCACCTCAATGTCGGTGTCTAGTGGGGAAGGAGGAGATGAGGGGTTAACCATTTAACTCCTAGTAATGATTAACATGTAGATTCTCCCTACAATATCCTTATATAATCCAGCAAACAGGTAACAAGAATACCCAAACTTAACAGGAAGAAGTTATTTCCTTGATCTAATACCAAATTCTTGTAACTTGTTTTAAAGGAAATGTATATCAGCTAGATGGGAGAATTAACAAGCAGATCTTGGAAGTTTAAGAGTTAAACAAGATTCCTCACCATTAGTTTTGTTAAAATGTCTCTGTTCATGGTGGATTTTTCTGCGCATCTGTTGACAAGTATACATCACCAACAATAAAACACAGGTGACAAAAATTAGCTTTAAAGAGGAAGGAGGGTCTTGAATGTCATACTCACTGTAAAAACAAACAAAAAAATAATAATGTAACGAGGTGTTGAAAATAAATGAATTATAATGTCCAAGAATGTAAATATCAGGGATTTGCTAGAGAAGGCGGACAAGACACTCTGCAAAAAAAGAATCGAATGACCCCGAATGCCCATTCTTCCAGTTTTTACCTAAGGAAAAGAACATGAGGTACAATCTTAGAAATACGTCAGTCTCTGTCTCTATAATCTACACTGACAGGTTTAAGAACGTTTTTAGTAACAGAAAAATTTTTAGATATGATATGTAAATAGTTTTTTTTTTTTTAGTTTATATTGTAACTTAGGATATGTGATTTCATCTTAAGAAATAAAGATTATTATTATTATTATTATTATTATTATCATCATTATTAATAAACAAGATGATCATATTAAATTCTTGTGACATAGGACTTTCTTCAAAATTTATTTTAAATGTCTTATTTCTAAATCTGGACTGAAAGGCCAAAGTTGTTCTCAATCACATTTAACTGTCACCCCAACGAAAGAGGCTCTTGATTGTTAAACAAATTCTCCTCACCAGCACCTCAGGAAATGTGTAGAGCACAGTATGAAGAATATGCATGTTGATGCAAAGGTATCAAGGGTGAAGTGTTTATTATTTATCAAAAAGAAAACCCTTCATTTTTTAAGTTAATTTAAGTGCACTATGGTACCCTGAATGCCTTTGATGGTGCCTCACAAAAAAAAGAGATGTCACTGTCTACATTCATGTACGACAGAGAGTGGCACACCCAGAGTGACCTTTGTAAGGGGAGGTAACCAATACTAATAATAGATCTAATAATATGCTTTGCAATTCTGCATTTCAGAGTTATTTCAAAAAGCCACACTACTCTAGCAAATACAAGCAAAATCCTTGACCATGCTTTGAAATTCTACGGCCCCAGCCAACTTCTCCAAAGAGCAAGGAATGCAACTTAAAAAAGACAGTGCAGAAATACAGTCTGTCAAAAAAACCAAAGTGGGTATTCACATTCCATGGTATTAAAATCTTCCACTATCAAGCTTCTTGAACAAATTCTCTTTGAACCAGACAGCTTGGAGCCCACAAGAGCGACAAGTTTGAACTTAAACTGAGAAAAGTTTGCTTCTGCAGTTAAAAAAAAATAAAGAGGACCCATATCTCTGATTATAGTATTTTTTATATGCTTGTGAGAAAGGTGATATGTTATGGAACAGCCTTTCCCATGCACTCTGATCAAAAGTTTCTTTAAGCAAATATAAACGTAAACT